ACAATTTCAAAACATTCAAAAAGTTTTTTTAAAAGTTACATCATGCAACTCATCGCCGCGCCCATGTTAGCAAAGACACGCAGTATATATTTTGCTGCGACTGCGCGAGGAGAATCAGTACCACTGGAACTACAGCAATGGAAATGAACAGGAAGGTGAAACGTGCTCTCTTGTGTTTGTTTAAAAGGTGTTCTTTTTCTGGAGACATTACAGAAATTTCGCTTATTAACTTAGCGTGCTTTTCTTATTATCGAGTTCATATATTTACGTTTTTGGTACGAATTATTATTATTATTATTTATTTATTCATTTTTTTTCTTTTTTTTTTCTTTTTTTTTAGCGTTAGGATACAATTGTGTAATTGTTTTCAAAAGTACGATTCCCACAGGTGTTTGTTTTCCTGGGCCTTTTAGCCTTTGCTGCCGCTGACAGCTTTGAGTCCTATGAATACCGACCACCAAGGGTATCCTTTTCTTTTTGCGTGTTTTTATGTAATCTTTGGTTTATAATTATCTAAAATTAGCCATGCCAATTTAGAAACTAATGTTAAATAAACGCCATACTTGTATGGTTCCAGCGTTCGTCTGAGGAGTCCTACGAGTCTTCTGAAGCTTCAACTGGGCCGTGAGCGATGACTCCTCAAGCAACGAGTTCGGACACCAGGAGGCCCGTGACGGCGACCACACACAGGGATCCTACTACGTGCAGCTCCCCGACGGCCGCCTGCAGACCGTCAAGTACTTCGTGGACGGCGACTCCGGCTACGTGGCTGAAGTCAGCTACGAGGGCGACGTCTCCTACGAATCAGCTTCCTTTGAATCCCGAGAGTACAGGCCTCCCAGACCTCGCTATTTCTACGACTCCAACGAATCAAAATAATTTTTTGGTGGGCATTCGTTGACTGCTGCCTGTATTCTTGAAAAGTTATATATTTACATTAATGAAATGATTATTCTTATTATAAATTGTATTTTTATATACTGTATGCACACAGACCCGCAGAATGTTTACATGCGTACATGTATATAAAAATATATAAAATATATGTATATGTAATATATAATATATATAATATACATATATAAAATTTAAATATATATAATTAATTATATGTACATATGACATATATAATATATTTAACACACATACACACACACACACACACACACACACATATATATATACATATATACATATATATACATATATACATATATATATATGTATATATACATATATATATATACATATGTGTATATATATGTATGTGTGTGTGTGTGTGTGTATGTGTATATATATACATTATATATATATATATATATATATATATATATATATATATATATATATATATATATATATATATATTTATTTATATGTATATATATACATATATGTGTGTGTGTGTGTATGTATGTATATATATATATATATATAGAGAGAGAGAGAGAGAGAGAGAGAATATATATATGTATATAATATGTATATATAATAATATATATGTGTGTATAATATAAATAATATATAAGCTTATATATGTAAGCATCGTGGCCTCCGTTCTTGTTGGCTCAAGCATTTTTCGCAGCAAGTAAATACAACGCCTTGAGATTTAAATGCATGTATCGTAAGTGAAATAGCCGCGGTGGCTTTAGTGGTACGGCTGATCTGCGGATAATTAAAAGGGGCATCCACCTAGATAAAAAATTGAAAGAGCCCTATGTACTACAGTGGAATGAGAGACTGGGGATTTAGTAATTAAAATAATATATATGTAGATAAGTTTATATTTATACATATATGTGTGTGTATTATTTTTAAATATGTATCATATATGTATAATATATATGTCAGTATATATATTCACATATATGTTTATATATATGCGTATGTATCTATATATATTCCAATATACGTGTGTATATCTATACATATGTATTTGTGTGTATATATATAACTGTATACACATACACACACATATATGTGTGTGTGTGCGCGCGCGTGTGTGTTTGTGGGTGTGTGTGTGTGTGTGCCCTTTAACCTCCCCGACCTTCTGAATTAAATGCAAACTCTAAATCATAAACAAAATATGTAAAGGAATTTCTACAGCTAATTTGGACCTATATATTTCGTATCGATTTCCTTATATTACTAAAACCGATGTTTCCACAAGTGTAAGCTATATATATATATATATATATATATATATATATATATACATATATAAACTTGTATATATGTTGTGGGGAGGGCCTTTGGGGATCTTTCTTTAAAAATAGTTCGGTTACAAATGAAAATTTTCTGTAAAGGAAAATGATACCCAATAGCATTAATGTTATCAACTTTTTACATCAGACCCATAAGGTAGATCTCAATAACTTTCCTTTCAAACATAGATATTATAAATATGATTATCGATAAATAATTTACTTAGACTCGTTGGCGTTGTAGACGTAAGGAGGCCTGGGAGGATTGTATTCACGGGACTCAGCTAAATCAGCGG